CTTCATACAATGAAACCTAAGTACATATATGCCTTTGTATTCTTATTAAAAGATCTTCCTATTTCGAAGTCACCAAGTGACTTAAATTATTTTTTAAAAAAATTATATCACAATTAATTTAAGAAGAAAATGAAAAAAATTTATTTAAATAGAAAAATTTTGTATGTAAAAACACTTCGCGCTGCTAGTTCTCGATCTCGATGTAATAAAATACAATAATAAAGATAAGAAACATTTTCACAAGAATTAAAGTATTTAGTGTGTACATATTCGTGTATATGTATGTGCGAATAAATTGTATCTCAATCCCAATATAATAACGTCATAATAAAATTATATATGGATGTAACATTTTGTATAAAAGACATTAGAAACTACGAGAGTTAAAGTATGCAGTCTGTATGTATATTCGTGTACAGTATATGCGAAATACATAAAAAAAGAAAAGGAAGCTGTATATGAGGCATTCCACATGAACTCAACCAGCCTGAAAATAGGAAAGTTTTCCAATCACTTTAAAATTTTTATAATCAATAGTCCTACCAACAACAAAGTTTCTGTTAAAATTTTGTTGAGCTAGTGCAACGGGTTGCCAAGTTACAGGGGCTTGAATTTTGTCCACTCCAACCATCAGATGTACTTTGTAAGATACATAACTTGTCTTACAATATTCCGATTTGAACAAAAAAGTAGTGATTTGGAAAGCTTTTTTCACGTACTTTCATAATAAAATAAGTATTATTTAAAAAACTTGTAAATTTGGCGTTATTTTTCAAAATTAATCTTAAATGTCTATTTTTCTCAAAGATGGGTATCTTCGATTCGAATAGAAAAAATTTAGAAAAAAAGAAGGATTCTTTCCTAACAAAAAAGTCTCTAAGTTCCAAGATGGTGAATTCAGTAGTTTTTGAGATACAGACAGATTTATGAGCGGATGAACGGAACGCGCTTCATGCCGAGTCGCGCCATATTGCCTTGCGTCCGCGAGGCGCGCCGAGAGGCCCGAACGATCCTACGTAACTCTGGGTAATGCTGTTTTTTAGTTTTTTCACAATGTTTTACATAATCTGTCCCTAAAGAATCATTTTTAAGAACGACCGGCTTCTAATTAGAGTGTCATGCTAACGAAGTTTTAATCCGAATTTGCATCCTAAATTATAATATATAATAGAGACGTCTTGATCCAATTTATTATCATCGACATTATAACATTCAAGGTTTATTACTTCCTTTCAGTTATATTGTGCTACTTTAATGAGTTCAAAACGTGCACTTGAAGGTAGGATCGTTCGGGCCTCTCGGCGCGCCTCGCGGACGCAAGGCAATATGGCGCGACTCGGCATGAAGCGCGTTCCGTTCATCCGCTCATAAATCTGTCTGTATCTCAAAAACTACTGAATTCACCATCTTGGAACTTACAGACTTTTTTGTTAGGAAAGAATTCTTCTTTTTTTCTAAATTTTTTCTATTCGAATCGAAGATACCCATCTTTGAGAAAAATAGACATTTAAGATTAATTTTGAAAAATAACGCCAAATTTACAAGTTTTTTAAATAATACTTATTTTATTATGAAAGTACGTGAAAAAAGCTTTCCAAATCACTACTTTTTTGTTCAAATCGGAATATTGTAAGACAAGTTATGTATCTTACAAAGTACATCTGATGGTTGGAGTGGACAAAATTCAAGCCCCTGTAACTTGGCAACCCGTTGCACTAGCTCAACAAAATTTTAACAGAAACTTTGTTGTTGGTAGGACTATTGATTATAAAAATTTTAAAGTGATTGGAAAACTTTCCTATTTTCAGGCTGATTGAGTTCATGTGGAATGCCCCAT